CACTGACCAGATTTACTCGGAAGCCGCCGTCAATTGAAGTGCATGGTCTGCACCCGACAATTTCTCGCATTTTAAATGGGAGGCTAGCTCCGCTGAAGATTGTTGAAGGTTTCAGGAAAATCGGATAGTTCGAGAACCCATGAAGAACTCTTTTTTTTCACCATCGTCAACTAGGCCCCCATTTCATAAGTCTGGATTCAGTTTATGTATGAAATGAATTATGTTTTCAGAACGGGTGCACACTGTTTTTCAGACCTGTAATTGAATCGCTTCCGAAGTTCATATGACATGTTGCAAACACAGAATTTTTGAGAAAAAAGACACTGTTTATTGAGCAGGCTGGCAATGGCAATTAATCGAGTCACTACGCAAGCTTGCAGCTGCTCACCCATGTATTTTCGTGTTACGAAGCAGGATCAAGCGAGGTGACGAGGAAAATTTTGAGATACGCCCCCCCCCCTCCTCCCTCCCCTCCCCAACGGTCGAAGTCTTTGAAGCGACTCCTCAGACCCCACCCTCCACCATAAAAGTTTTTCAACAAGTAAGAGGAGTAAAAAAAACATTAACAGTGAGTCCTGCCAACAAACGGAGCAAAAACGACAAACTAGTCTCTGAAAATGGCATACTATGACAGCACCTCTTCTTTATTTATTTCCTTTCAAGGCTTACCAAATTCTAGTACTACACAGATTATGGTTCTCAATTCTACACGTCCCCCTTTCGTTGTCAGAAGCCTTGTAACTGCCTTTACCAGGGACCGTATCCTATCCTTCCCCTAGGGGGACGCGTCCCCCGCCGCTGATTCTATCCTGCGGCTGGGGAGACAGGGTTGCGTCATAGGACCCGCCATTGAACGCGTGATGTTGTAGCTACCCTCCCCTGTTGAGGCACTCTTTTCTCTAAGAGGTCGCGCTGTCTAAGGTCTAGAACGCAGAGTATGGCTGGCCCTATGAATCACATTGTGTCCTCAACCGTAGGATGGGATCAGCGGAGGGGGACGTGTCATCCTCGAGGAAGGATAGGATACGGCCCCATCTGTCTGTTGATGGTGTTGCTTGGAGCAGCTTACCTACTATTGAAATTTGAACAAATATTCAAATGATTATAACTTTCTTCAAAGTTGACGAATTTTCAATCTGAAAGCAGATTTGGGAAGTTTTGTGAAGAGCTTCTTTCTAATCAGTATTGAAATTACAAAAATTTATAAGAAATAACAAATTTAGATCAATTAACGAGGAAAATTCGAGATGAGCACGAGTTTTTACACTTTCCGAAGCCATAACTTGCTTCATTTTCGTCAAATTCTGAAAAGTTAATACGTCATCAAAACTAGAAGATTTGCTCTATTCAAAGGTTCCTAGAACTGCTAAATACGCCCGTTCGAGGATTTTGCAAAATTAACGAGGAAAATTCGTGATGAGTGCGAGTTTTTACGCTTTCCAAAGCCATAACTCCGTTCAAACTCATCCAATCTGAAAAGTTAATACGTCATCATAAACTAGAAGATTTGCTCTATCAAACGGGTTGTTATACACTGCTCAATACGTGTTAAAAAAATGGCCACGTTGAGGATTTTGCACGAGTACCGCCGAAAGGTACTTTTTCGCTGCATTGGCACTATTTCAACGGACTATATATCCTTTCAGGGCGATTATGTACTAAAGTAAGAGCAGATTTGGAATCACTGCTTTTCTCTTTCTAAGAAAAGTGATTGAACGAAATCTAACTTTGACGATTACATGCTTATGAATTTGACGCTGAAAGACTGCGGTTCTTGTTGAATAGTGGAGTCCTCCCTGTGATTTCGGACGGACGTTTATCTAATCCTCTTGTTTTTTCTTGAATCGAAATTTTCCTTCAGCAGCTGTGATTGGAGCGCCGATTAATAATTCAGCCCACTCTGGGACGCGCCATGTGCTTCACATCCTTCATGTTGGTGGACCATTTTCGAAGATAAATTATCAACTAGAAAACGTGCGAATTTCGGATTCTTTAACCTTGTCGTAATAAATCACTGACGTAGCTAAGAATTACTGCGGACCCCTCCGAAAGCACGAAAATTTTAGGTGAGCGGAGTAAAGTTGTTAACGGAAATCTTCGGCCAAGCTTGCACAGCATCGATCATGTCTTTGATGTTTGCCCTCTAACACTGGTGATCCTCCCGCATCAATCCGGCCCCCTCCTAGTGGGCTACATACAACCTTTATCCCCCCCCCCCCCGGACCATCGTCGAGGATTGCTCAACGCACGCTTGACCCTGTTACGAAGATTTCATCTTTGAACACCAATCATGTTAGCTGACAATGAAATACACGCAGTGAATTATCATGAACAGCGGGAGAGCTTTCAAAGCATTAAGGGCGCCGAGCAAAACAATGAACGAACTGAATGTGATACAAGCGGTGATTTCGCAGCGATGTGAAAATGGCACAGGCTATCATTCCAGTAGGAGGCAGACAAACTATACCAAGTGTAAGTAGTTGTGAGTTGCTCATTGAAAGCAGACTAAACTAGTTTCGATCTGTTGTCATAAGTATTATTTCCAGAAGGTTTGCATTCTGGACTGAACAATGGTATGCTATTGGTGTCTTGGCGGCCCAGAAGAGAAAGCAGTACTATGTATGCTATTTTTCAGCATGAATACAATTTTTTTTTGAATCACTTTTGATCTCTTTTCTGTGTCTAACAAATCTGGATCGTTATTTTGTATGTATATACATAAGGCGTGCGGGGGGGGGCACAGTCATGGGAGGAGGCTTCTTGGAAAAGCAGGAGCGGCGCGAAGGAGCCGCCGGTGTTATGTGCTGAGGGTATGAGCGGCTGAGAGCGCACTGTGCTACGGACCAATATTGGGACTACCTGCCGCTAAGGTGGACCGCTCTTCACAAACTTCTTTGAAAAAGATCCAATCATTAAGACTATTCTGCGTACGCCATGATCTAGAACTATCGTGGTCGCACGACCTCTTTTCGAACGCATGAGGCCGTCGATTGCAAAATCTGGAATTGCCGTCAAACACTGGTTCTCGACACACTTTGCCACATATTTGATTATTCGATGTTTGCAGTCAAGAGCTCCGAGGGCTTTTCGAATCTGCTCTCGTACGGAAACGTGGCTTCGACACCCATTATCGCGCTTTTGCTTTGTGGTTATGGTTATTTGATGTGAATATTTCCAGCTGTTCTATATATTCTCGTATGGTATATTTTCGCAGGAGGCCGACTTATGCCTACGACGCTTCATCTGGGAGTTTACTGCCGGGAAGTCGCAGGTAATCCCTTGCGATTGCTGGGCCAGGACCCCGTTATGGATAAAGGCCTATGGGCGTGGACTGAGGCTACGTTTCGGAAGAACATGTTCCTGTCCCCTAATAAGCAAGGATCCTTGTCCCGTTAGGTTTGAGCTTAGGGTTTTTTCGTCTCCGATACCTCTTCTCTCTGTGTGCTTCGAGGCATAATGCTCCTGTTTAAGTAGTGATTCTGTCCTGTGTAGCAGAATTCAACCGTGGGTTTCTTTTCGGCTTTATTTTACTGTCAAAAACCATCAAGGGTAAAAGAGTAAGAGATTGGAAGCAAAATAATTGCTTTACTTTAACGAGTTAATAATCGCAGAGTCGTGACTCTGAAAGTAACAAATAGGAGCGTGTTGCTACATTTCACATAGATTTCAAATGTAATACCAAGTAGACCTACAAAGCACTTCCCTGAGCCAAGGACTACTCTTGGGTCAAGGAAAACAGGGAGTTAGATTAGGCTAACTGGGACCGCTATACTCCGCGTGGCAGGTAGATGGGCACAGGCCCACGCGATTTTTAAAAGAACAGCGAGAACTGGCGAACATCAAACAGCAAAGTTGGTGCAAACAGTGTCAATGCAAGACTTAACGATAAAAAGGTAACAATGAATAGAATAATCCGAAAACAACTTTCTGATGAAAATGCGATATCAAACATTACACGGTTGTTGTCGTGTAACTTTCCTGAAAATTGATCTCACTTCTATTGGTTATGGACAATAGTCGCTGAAACACGGACAACATTCGCTGCAATAGTTGTGGAACATCCTGTACATATGTATAAAGGAAGGATGGTAAATGGCATTGGAGCACAATCAAGATGATGTAGCCATATTCATGGCGCTCTATTTCGCCACCAGATGAAAGCTGCATTCAAGGTGAGTTCACTTCCTGATTGCGCACTCGACGTACGTTCATCGAGTTTACGTTTTTCGCTGGCTGCAGTTACAGAAGTTATCGCTACTCGGTAATGGGAAAATTACTGTTTTTTCAGGTGCAGGTTGCTATTCCTTGGAATCAATGAGGCAATTTTCACGCATTTCTGGCAACGCTGCAGAGGGGATCTGGTTAGTAATTTTTGAAAACACACTGATGTGTAACGCCTAAAATAAAAACCTAAGATGGCAGGCGGCAATGTTATGATTGAGCGAAAAGAAGCGGGGTCGGCGGCAGATTTATCGATGAGAGGTGTCGCAATAGCACAAGATTGCTTTAGAATCGACGTTATGAGGCGCCGAACGCTGGTTCATCCACCCCGTTTGTCCATACGCAAAACGTGGTACAATGGAAGCGGTATGAACGATCTTCGCAATACCCTAAATCCCTTGTTGCGCACTTATTATTAAACGATCGCGACCTTTACGAGCAAACCTATTTGCCACCAAAGACTCATCCACTTGAACACGATGGTGGGTTTTGCTTCCTTCTAGTATGGCAAACACGCATTCAGGTTCAATTGCGATTTTTAAAAGCAGATCGGATTCGGGGTACATCCTTATTTTTGGTCTCCTCTAGCGTTATCAGCTTCTACTTTATAGACAAAAGTCTTAGTTTAATATGAATCCCTCCGCTATCTTGACCAAGCCTTTGCTTTCAGAAATTTTCTAATACTCTGGCACAAGAAGCTATCGAGGAATTACTCACTGGGGAGCGCAAACAGTGAGCACCCGTTGACAGACATACAGAGTGGGAATGTTAGTTTGCGTAAACGTCTTTTACATTTTCGGTGAGTAGATGTGTTTTATTAAGGTCATTTTCTCGGGATCCAGATAAAACGCCAAAGGCGGATAAAGTAAAGAGAACCCTAGACTATTCAGGAGATTCTTTCCACTGGTAAGTCTTTGAGGTATGTCCGAATCATTTGAAAAACGCTAATTTTATGTTTCACAAGAATGCTGGGTTGTGAACAAAACTTTCGCCCCAGGCGGGACTAGAACCCGCACCTCTCGCTTTCCGGGCAAGTGCGCTACCAGTTACGCTACCGGGGCACCATTTCATTCCAACTCAGCTTTTCATGGTATACGTACCATAGCTTTCAGCACTCACACGTCTAACGTGTTGAGCCGGTTAGCCGATATCGGCAATGACCGCGAGGCTGAAAGCTTTAGCAATGAAATTTTGACTTTTTTTGTTTGTTTGGGGAAACATTTTGGGCTTGTTTTTGGGGGGGGGGGGTGAAACTCCAGTGAACATGCTATAAGCTTTTAGCGCGCTTGCTTGCCCGGAAAGAGAGGTGCGGGTTCTAGTCCCGCCTGGGGCGAAAGTTTTGTTCACAACCCAGCATTCTTGTGAAACATTCGCAACGCGAACTGCGGCGTTAAAACAGCAGTTAACAAACAAAACAAGTCAAAATTCATTGCTAATTGATTTGTCTTCGTGGGTCGGTTATAGTATAACAAAGAAAATAATGGGGTTGTAGGACCGTATAGCGCGACCCTGGGTGCAGGATTGAGGGTGCATCGGAAAATCCTTGGCGAGGGTACGCTGGGAGGGAGGGGATCGTAAGTGCCAAGATCAGCAGTGAAAAGAGCGCCTGTTTGCGAGTGGATTAAAGCCGTGACTCAAGCTAATTGTTGTTGGATGTTGAGGGCACGGCACACCTCTGAGCTTTCGATCAGTGTAATACCTTCAGCTGCCCGTGCAAAGAAAATGCACCTCGATAGAAATAATACCTCAAGGAAAAGGCCTGCTGTGCAAAATTGCTATGGAGGATCCACTATGAATGTTGTTGTAGAATGCTGATGTTGAACCGGTGTGCACAAAAACGGAGACGGACGATTTTTTGAAATATTGAACATCACACAATATTTCAAATACTTTTCAGGAAGAAAACTATTTGAATTTTTAAATTTTGGTGTCCGGTTTCATGAGACGCTTCTGAAGAAAAATATAACCTTCTGAATGGAGGGGTTTGGATTGCAACGTAATTGCTACAAGGTTTAGTTTTTCAGATTATAAATAAGGAAAATTGAGAGATCGAAAAAAAACTTGGTAGGTTTCTGAAAGTAGAAATCTTTGTGATTATTATGTATTGGTTTACGCAAAAATTTGGAAATTCCTTCTATTTAATGAATAAAACTTCATGTTGCCTCGATTCCCTCCTCTGAGCGAGACAGAGCGCGCGGATTGACCACGGTCCACCACTTCTCCATGTTGGTGACTGCCCACACATCAATGATGAGCATTAAATTATGTGAAAGACATGATAGTTAATATCGTACAATAGGGTCGTACCGATACCCTCCGAAAAGGAAGGGGCGTAAAAAATTTTTGGAATTTGCGCGAACGGCACGGCAGGGGGGCAAAAAAAAAAGACATTTTGCCTATGTCGCCACCTTACCATTTCTCTGAATACGCGAACCCCCTCGGAACCCGCTTTTCAGAGAACGTCGTGATGATATGGGGGTCCGTCCCTGACCACCGAAAACCATGTTTTCAGTGCTAATTTCTCCGATTTCGTCCACCTTGAAGGGCAACATCCTACTTACTATAAAGCGTCTTCGTCTGTCGTCTGTCGTCTGTCGTCTGTCGTCTGTCGTCTCTGTATGTCTGTCACGAAATTCCCTAGCTCCTCGGGATCCACCTGGAGGGACCGGGTCAAGTGTGGGTTGGGTGGCCCAGGTCTCGAGAAGTACAAAACACACATCAGCTAAGCGGAGCCCCGCCCACAGTGGGCGTGGCGTGCGTCGAAATGAAGTGTGACGACCGAGATTTTCAATTCTCTTAGAAAACAGCCTCGAAACTGGGAAGAAAAGTAGGGTAAGGTGTGTATTGGTAAGTCTGATCGAAAGAGAGAGCCACCCCCGGTGGGCGGAGCGTTCTCCAAAAAAGCAGTGCTCAACGAAAGGGGCGTGCGCTGAAGAGTACAGCGTTTTCTACAAGTCCACATAATTCGGGCCGGGGAAGTCTAGATGAGCCGGAAAAAGGTGGATGGAGGTGGGTGGAGGAGTGGAGGCCACCTGTCATCGGTGGGCGGGGCATGACCAAAGTGGGCGGGGTTTGCGACGAAATCCATACTCGGCTCCCAAGAAGAATTCGGCGCCCTTGGCAGGCAAGGTTTGCATCAAAGTGGGCGGAGTTTGCCAGAACTTCATAACTCTGCCAGACCTACAACTCGGTTCTAAGAAGTCCCGGAAACTGGGAAAAAAGTGGATAGAGGTCTGCGATGGAAGCAAGGGTAACTGCTGTAAGTGGGCGGGGCATGGCCAAAGTGGGCGGAGTTTTCGACGGAAGTACATAACTCGGTTCCAAGAAGTCCCGGAGACCGGGAAAATAGTGGAAAGAGGTGGGTTGGAGGAGTGGAGGTCACAGTTGCTTTGAGAGGGGAAGGTCAACAGCTCTTAACTTTTTCATTCATTTAGTCAATATACAATTCATTTTTTGCATGCTCCTCTGCATGAAAGTGCGTTACATCAAGGTTTATTCGTCTTTCCCCTGTGTCTTTATTTCGCCAATCCCAACTCACTGATGAGCTCCGGGGATTGACGAAATAATAAGGTTCGTCTGAGGAAGGAGCGAAACGAACCGTATCTATTATTTTGTTTATAATGGTTTTTCTTTCTTAATTGGTAGGCGGAGCATGACTAAAGTGAGCGGAGCTCGGCTGCAAAACTAAAAGTCGGTTCAGAGATAGTCCGGAAACCGAAAAAAGGTGGATAGAAGCCAGCGAAGGGAGAGAATTCAATCTTCATCGGTGAGCGGGGTATGACCTAAGTGGGCTGGGTTTGTTGCCAGACCTATAAAGTGGTTCCACGAAGCTCTAGGAACTGGGAATAAAGTAGATGGGGAGGGAAGTCAATTTTTTATTGTGGTTGGATGCACTAAAGTGGCCGCGTTAGCCGCCAAGCATATAGATTGCTCAGGGTCAGTTCAGAGACCGGGGAAAACGGAAGCTATTAGCAAGGAAGAAAAAGATGGGTGAGACATGCACCGAAATAGGCTGAGTTCATGACGAGATTTATAAATCGGTCTAGAGGCAGTCCGGAGACCGGGAAAAAGCGGATAATAGTTGCGAAGAAGGAGAGGTTAAGAGCTATTAATTATGGAGCGGATAGAACCTAGCTCAGAAGTCAAATATTCGTAGTTTGTCGGGCCAAATTGAGAATTTACGCCGCACCATCCCATATCGCCGCAGAACTGTGTTGCGCGCGCAACGCGTGCTGCGCCAACTGGTAATTATTATTTTTTATAATTTTGTTTTTCTCTTTATATTAGCTTGAGTGCATTCATCTCAAAATTTAGCGGAATGTGATTTAATCGGTTAGTATGTGGAGATAGAATGTCTTTTTTTATTGGCCCCTGTATTTCTCACTTCACATCCCCTGCACTGAGCTATGAGGATGATGCCTTGGAATACACAATTCTTTTCACTCAGACGTGCAGTATCGAAGAGACTCTGGCTGAAACTTAAGGCCTTCAACGAAAGGGATTACGATAAGATTGAGTCAGTTTATAGTAGAAGTGAGGATGCTGTGGAATGGGTATGAATATTTGAGTGGCAAAAAAGCCAAAAATTCGTAATCGTGAAGGAGGACCCATTTTGTTTGTCTTTGACCGCGGAGCAGACGTATCGTAAACCTCGGTCAGACCCGGGTTTTCATAACTCGGTTGGAGAAGCCTACAGAGCAGAAACGAAATTAGTGCAGGGGAGCAATGTCTAAGGTATTTCCAGCACGCATGATGTGAACGGAGGCCCGCCCACAATGGGCGGAGCGTGTCGTGAAGTAGACAGACGTTTTCTACAAGAGCTCATAAATCGGCTCCGAGATGACTTAGAAACCGGAAAACAGTGGATAGAGGTTAGGAGGGAGGAGAAGCTAAATGTCAGGCTGGGCGTGGCTTACACCAAAGTGGGCGGAGTTTGCAACCAGCCTCATAACTCGGTTCCTAGGAGTCCCGGAGTCCGGGAAAAAAGCGTATAAGGGTTGGCAGAGGGAAAGGGGTCAACCGCTGTTGGCGGGCGGAGCATGCATGCAAAGTGGGCGGGGTTTGCCACGGTACTTCATAACTCGGTTCCAATAAGTTCCGGAGATGGGAAAAAAGTAGAAAAAGGTTGGGGAAGAGATGATAGTCAACTGATATCAGTGGGCGACCCATGCACCAAAGTGGGCGGGGTTTGCCACAAAGATACGTAGCTCGATTTCGTCCCCTACAAGACCTCATAATTCGGCTCCGAGATGACTTAGAGACCTGAAAAAATGTGTATAGAGGTGAGAGGGAGTAGAGGTTGAATGTGAACGCTGGGCGTGGCACACCCCGAAGTGGGCGGAGTTTGCCACCACTCTCATAACTCGGTTCCTAGAAGTCTAGGCGACCGGGAAATGTGGATAAGGGTTGCCGGAGGAAAAGGGGTTAAATCGCTATTGTCGGGCGGAAAGCTTGCACACCAAGTGGGGCGGGTTGTTTGCCTCAGGAGTTCATGACTCATAACGTCTTCTACAAGACCTCATAATTCTGCTCCGAGACGACTTAGAGGCCTGAAAAGATGTGTATAGAGGTGAGAGGAGGAGCAGAGGTTGAATGTGGCACGCACCCCGAAGAGGCGGTCAGTTTGCCACACGGGGGTCAATCGCTTTTGTGGGCGGAACGTGCCCGAAAGTAGGCGGATTTTGCTACGAAATTAATAACCAGGTTCTTAAAGAAGTCCGGTGACCGGGAAAGAAGTGGACTGAACGTTAGAGAAGAAGGGAGGGTAGGAAGCCGTCGGGGCAGGAAGCCCGGGAGTGAGCGTTTTTCCCCACTGCGGTTACAATCTAACCACCTCTTTGACGCAACCCATTAGTTAGTAGAGGAAATCATTGCACAGAAGCTAGCAGTGGAGGGAGGTGAAAT